AGCTGCCAGAATATCTGATTGCCATCTTAGGCCAAATCCCCCGGGGGAGCAGGCCTAAGCCAGCAAGTGGTCACCCCTGAGGGGTCCCAAACTGCGAAAGGGCACAGGCCGGGCTGAGGAACCCCCTACCCCCAAGTGCACAAATTTTTGTGCACTGGGCCTCTAGTCTATATAATAAAAGCCTAATTGACCATTACGGTGAAAGGACCAGAACAATCAGTTCTATGATGCATACTGACCACCAGGGGGCAGACGCTCAACGCAGGAGCTGTCCCTTGATGGTCAGTGCGCTCCCATAGTGGGAGCACCGCTCAGCCAGAAGCTGGGCTCACGGATGGCAAGTGCAGTGGCGGTGGCAGGAGCCTCTCTGCCTCCACAGCAACGCTAAGGAGCAGCAAGCTGAGCAGTAAGGAACAGTGAGCAGGCGGGGCAGGTGGTAAGGAGCAAGGGGTCCTGGACTGCGAGAGGGCACAGGCTGGGCGAGGGACCCCTTCGCCCCCTTCTTCCCTAGAAGTCGTGCACTGGACTTCTAGTTTAAAAATAAACAGCACCAGGGACCTGGCTGGCGCCAACAAACCAACACTCAGCTTCCCCCAAGTGGGACACAGGCCCCATCACCACCCTGAAGTGACACCCCACCAAATCACAGTCAATGCTGCTGCCAAGACCCCATGGTGCAAAATGCAGCCCACAGCCCAGCCTAAAACAATCGCTGTAGGCTCTGGGTAATGACATCACATAGCAACGCCCAACTTCCTCTCCCTAACAATTAGCCTCCTTGGAGTTTCTTCAACCCAGGAACACGACTTGCTTTATAGCCAGGTGCAAACATTTTCCACTTTAACCAAATGTCTGTGAAGTGTTTTCCCGTGCCTCATCTCATTTGATCCTCACAGAAGTCCTGGAGTAGGTAGGTAGGAAACTCGGTAGAATCCTATTTTCTTTTCATTAGCCAGAAAACGGAAATTGGGAAAGTTTAAAAACTTGACCCGATGGAAAAGAAATGGTGGACCTTGAAAATGACTTCAGGTTTTCTCACTGCGCAGAATATAGTCAAACACTGCTGCAGTTGAATATTTTACCTTTACCCTTTGTTCTCCCTGTGTGATCTACAATAATAATCTGCTTCATGTTGATATTTACTGCTGTGTTGCTGACAATTACCTGAAAGAGAAGTTGGGGTGCTTCACTGGGCTGGAAAAAGTTTAGCTAGATCAGAAAGCAGGTCTAATTAAGCAGGATACTGCACCTTTGTCATGCTTTTCTCCTTCCTTACTTCCTAAATACAGTGTTTTACTAGTGCAGTGATGACTGAGCAATTGAGCCTCAATACAGAACAGTATTCCCCAAAAACACCACACACATAATATCAGGTAAACAAATATTACTACAACAATCAGGCATTTTTAATTCATCATCTGAAAAGTCACATAGACTAAATATAAGGTTTGTGCAATCAACTTACTATACTGAAAAGTGCTCATAAGATGGCCTAGTTACAGTAATCCAGGACCTGTTATGGTAGTGAAGTAACTTACTGATGCTGTGTAGCTTAGTCAAATCAAACATCAGCCTACTGAAATGTGGCTCATTTATACAGTATTGCGGAAGAACAGTAAAGCTTCAGGAAAAGTCTAGGTCAAATAATGCAGAAATCTTAAATGACATTCCCAAAGACTGACTCCTGTTTTGGAGACCTACCTATTTCTCACCGAATAAACAAATAAACCAATTTACAAATAAGCAAGATCTCTTCCTAACCACATGAGAGATTTGGTTTTAAAAATCCGAAACACTTTTCCCATGAGATTAGTTATAAGACATTAAACATACATCAGATCTCCAAATCCAAAACATATAGGCTAAAAATAGTGCATCTTTCCAAAGGATGAAGCTAAAAGCCCTCCAACTGAACAAATTAAAATTAGATTTTTTTTTCATCTCTGAATCTTTAAAATGTACCTTGAATGTTTATGGGGCACACAAGCCTGTGTTCACATATTCGCCCAAACAAGCGGGTGAGAGACAACCTAATTATTAAAATCTTCAGGAACATAAGCCCACTGTCCAAGAGACTCGTGTAATAAAATTCCTGTTCAATCTGGCTAATATCCAAAGTAAGAAATACTAATAATAATAACAATGACCCCTCCCAAATTCAGCAAACTACAACCCACCAAAAAGGACCACCATCCTATACTCTTTCTCCGGAAGCAGAAGCAAAAGCCCTGTACAAAAGCTGTCGGATGGGCAGGCAGGTAGGGTTCCACCTGGAATACCAAGCACCGGCGCCGGCAGAGGGAGGAGGACGTTACGGGGAAGGAGGCTTGGGGGTAGCCACCCACGGAGGTACCTGTGAGCTACGGCGGGAGAAGGGCAACCCTTTACACCCCAGCTCTGCCCAGGCCGGCGCCCGGGTCCGCGCTCCGAGACTGGGCCCAGCCTGGAAAGATTTTTATGTAAAAGTGGTCGATGCAAATCCAGGGGCCTAGAGACCAGAAAGGCCCCACTTCCCCCTTCACCCCTCCAGCCTGGGGCCCGGGGCACGGCGGCCACGGGAAGGTCACCGGCGGCAGGAGGCCCGGACCAGGGAAGGAGACGTTCGCGCTACCTTTGGCCTCGCAGTCGGCGCAGTACTTGTTGTCCTCCTCCCTCAGCAGCTTGGACAGGATGAGCTGGTGCTGCTCGTTCAGCTTCTGAGCCTTCTCCCGGCAGGAGCG